TGGTGTGTACATTACAACACAGGGAGGGAATAGTGACAAGGATATACGTTATCTATAGAACATAGCGGAGAACACACAGAGGCACACACACAAATTACTGAGGGATCCAATATCAAGGGGCGGGGGGGGGGTACACTCATGTGCGAGGGGTGGAGGGTTATTGGGGATTGGCGGAGTTGAGAGGAGTATGTACTTATCAGAAGGGGGGGGGGGGGGGGGGGAGGGGTATGGGGAATGGGGAGGACGGTCACGAGGGGTGGGGCGCGAGAGATCTTAGGATAGATAAATTTGGAATTATTATTCTATCTCTCTAGTGGATTATATAGGGGGGGGGGGTGGGGGGGGGGGGGGGGAATAAGGTTTGGGCGGTGAGGTAAGAGGGGGGTTATTAGTGAGTGATGAGAGGGGCTTCAAGGACACTGGAGCTCTACTATTGGGGCGGGGTAAAAATGGGGCAAGCTGGGGATTGCGCCGTGCGCAGGATGAATAAGGGTAAATTGCATCGGTGAATGGCTGTTTGATCCATAAACACACGTTCTGTGGAGCCTTGTTGAAGGCTCAAGGAACTAAGTTTGGGAAAACTCCTGCTTCGCCTTGGTGTCCGGTTCATTACAGCACTTTAAAAGCTAATCTTTGGCCTCTGCTTAATCTGGATTGTCCCCGGTGCATCTGTCTGATTTAGTGTGCGGGTAAACAGAGAAACACCTTTTCATGCGGTGACGGTGAAAGAAGAAAGAGAAGAGTGATTAAAGACAATGTTGTCTGAACAGAGAAGTCTTTAGACAATGCTCTCATGTTTGACTTAAGTGCAAACAGGAGAGACTAACGCTGAAACGCACATTCTCTAGTTTTACAGACGCAGGGGTCCATCTCAGACTAGAAATCTGGTGCGCGCCGGGAGTGGAAGAAGTTAGCCTTTGATGCTAACAGGAGTTTAGCTAGCGGCTTATTGTGTAAAAGAGTCTCTCAATAATGCAGCTTTGCAGCGTGTGGTGTGTTCAGGTGACCTCCACGGACTTTATATAACAGCAGATGTGTTCACGGAGGTGCCCAACGTTATTTTATTATTAAAAAGGATTTCCGCATCGCGACAACGCGACGCAGTTGCATAAAGTCACGGGAGCATTGAAAACGCACATGTTAACAAGCACTATGTCCCCCACTGTCAACACCTGTTTAGTCCCTGTTGCGTTGTTGAATGGGGTTTAGTCCTGGTGTAGCTCCTGTTTTGGCTGATTACAAGTATTTTCAGTCTACTCCTTAAGACCGCTAATGTCTCCGTGACCACTTTGCGGCTCTCTGATTGTTCTGCACGAGCGTCCCGAGAAAGGTTCAGCAAAATCAATCTCATGCGTTCCTCCCCTGACTTCCCAGCGCGGTCATGTGCCGTGCATTGACGAGACGCATTTGCGTTTTGAGAGCTCAAACGCCCATCACTATTGACTTGCATTGAAAGCCAAAGCAACGAATATCCTCTGAAAGCGTCATAAGGGCAATGTAGTGATGATCCAGACCTCCACATTCAACAATATACAGTGGGGCAAAAAAGTAATTAGTTCGCCACCGATTGTGCAAGTTCTCCCAAATTAAAAGTAATGACAGTGGTCTGTAATTTTGTCATCATAGTACACTCAACTGTGAGAGACAGAATGTGAAAAAAAATCCGGAATTCCACAATTTGTAGGATTTTTAAAGAATTTATTTGTAAATTATGGTGGAAAATAAGTATTTGCCAATAACAGAACATATCAACAGCAATGGAAGGAGTTTTTGCTCCAAAATCTAACGCTACATGGCCCCATTCCTTCTTTCCTTAACACTGATCAGAAAATCGTCCTGTCCCCTTAGCAGAAAAGACAGCCCCAAAGCAGACCGTGTCCACCCCATGCTTCACAGTAGGTATGGTGTTTCTCTGGGATGCAACCTTTTCTCCAATCACGGACGATTGGAGTTTATACCAAACATGTTCACTTTGGATTCATCTGACCACATGACATTCTCCAATCCTCAGCTGTATCATCCATGTGCTCTCTGGCAACTTCAGACGGGCCTGAAAATTCACTGCTTCAAGCAGGGGGACCACGTCTGCACTGCAGGATTTGATTCCCTTCGTCGTAGTGTGTTACTGATGGTCCCCACTCTCTGCAGGTCATGCTCACCAGTCCCCCCGTGTGGTTCTGGGATTTTTGATTCACCGTTCTCATAATCATTTTGACCCCACGGGAGGAATCTTGCGTGAGCCCCAGATCGAGGGAGAATTATCAGCGGTAAGGAAATATCGTTTGGTTTACATTTGGGCTATCTTTCATACATATAACGAGTTAACTCCCCTAGGGCGCCACCCGGTTCGACTTAAAAAGTCCATTAATACAGGGTACAGTGGAGGACAGAAGAGAGCTTCTTAAAGAAGAAGTTTACAGTCTGTGCGAGCCAGAGACTTCCCTGTTTGAAGTGACCAAATACTTATTTTCCTCCATAATTTACAAATAAAATCATTAAAAATTCTACAATGTGAATTTCTGGATTTTTTTTTTTCACATACCTGTTTCTCTCAGCTTGAAGTGTACCTATGATGAAAATTACAGACCACTCTGTCAAATTTTAGAAGTGGGAGAACTTCACAATCGGTGGCTGACAAAATACTTTTATGGCCCCACTGTATATTGTTGAATGTGGTTGTCCTGGATCACACTACTGCCCTTATGCCGCGTTCAGACCGGATCATTCGTTGCGTTGGCTTTCAATGCAAAGTCAATAGTGATGGCTTTGAGCCTCAAAACGCCAAGCGTCTCGAATGCACGCACTGACCGCGCTGGAAGTCGAAGGGAGAACGCATGAGATGAATTTTGCTGAACCATTCTCGGGACGCTCGTGGCAGCAACCACTCAGAGAGCCGCAAAGTGTACCACGCGAGACATTAGCCGGTCTAAGCGATTAGACGAAATACTTGTAAACAGCCAAAACAGAGCTACAACAGGACTTAAACGCAGGAACTAAACCAGGTGTTACAGTGGGGACATAGAGCTTGTTAACATGTAGTTTTTCATGCTCCCTGACTTTATGCAACTGCTTCAGAGTGTGTTCCGCCCGATGCGGAAATACCTTTTAATAATAAAATAAACGTAAGGCGCACCTCCTGGCACACATACTGGCTGTTGATAATAAAGTCCGTGAAGGTCCTGAACACACACACGCTAGCAAAACCTGCATTATAGGAGAAGCTCTGTTACCCCCTAAGCCGCTAGCTCAACTCTGTTAGCATCAAAGGCACCTTCCTACCCCACCGGCGCGCACCAGGACTATCTCGTCTTCAAGACCCCCTCGCTGAAAACTAGAGAAGGTGCTTTTCAGGCTAGTCCCGTCCGTTTGCACTTAAGTCAAACATGAGAGCATTGTCTAAAGACTTCTCCTGTTCGACAACATTGTCTTTAATCTCCTCTCCTCTTTCTTCTTTTCACCGTCACCCGACAGAAAGCTGTTTCCCCTCTGTTTACGCCACACTAATCCAGACAGATGACCCTGGGACAACCAGATAAAGCCCGAGAGCAAAGAATAGCCTTTAAAAGTGTGCTGTAATGAACCTGACACACGGCGGAAGTGCCGGCGTATTCCCAAACTTAGTTTCCTGAGCATCTCAAACAAAGGCTCACAGACGTGTGTTTATATGGATCACAACAGGCCATTCACAGATGCCATATTACCCTTATTAAATCTCCTGAGCACGGAGCAATAACAGTCGGCCATTTTTAACCCGCCCAACATAGTTACAGCTCCAGTGTCCTGAGCCACGCGCTGATCGATCGTTGTTACCAAGCGCGCAGACCTTCGGGTCGATACCAGAATCTGTGGTGTTATGTCAACGGTAGAAGTGAAAGGACAGAGATCAATCACTGTATTTAACACTGCTTTTTAGTTTTATGATACAATACTAACAATACATTTAGGTCACAATCGGACGATAAGGTTCACACAATCCTTATAAACTATAACAGTAATAACACACCAATATTGATGTTCTTATGTGTAGCACAAACTCTGACTCTGCTGAACCTTTATTGCTGCACCATCAAAAGTTCTTTGTTAGTTTTGTGAACTGTTGGTTCGACAACATCCACAGAGAAAAAAAGGATACCGGAGAGAGATCAGAGAGAGAGAGCGACCAGAGAGAGAAGAGAGAGAACAAGAGAACAGCGTGAGAGAGCACAGAGAACCAGAAGTGACCAGAGAGAGAGACCAAGGAGCAGAGAGAGAGCGAGACCAGAGCGAGAGAGCAAGAGAACAGAAAGCGGAAAGAGCAGAAAGAAAGAAACTTGAGAGAGAAAATGAGAGAGACCAGAGGAAGACCATGAGTCCCGAGAGAGATTAGAGACCAAAGAGAGACCAGAAAAGAGACCAGAGAAAGACCCAAGAGAGACCAGAGAGAGACAGACCAGAGAGAGCCAGTTCTTTCCACAAGCAGTTATAAGTCTTAACAAGAGATCAAAGAGAGACCGTAGAGACATGTCTCTCTCCTCAATGGCATTTGTGTCAACGTAAGGCCCCCGGGGGCCAGGCCGGCACCCAATGAATTATCTTACCCCCAGGATGATAATTTATTAGTATTAGAACTGGCCCACACACTGACAGAAGAACATGATTATAATGTTTCAGAGGGCATGTTTTTCACTTTGAAAGCAGTGTGAGTTTTGTTAGAGAGTCCTTTTTCAGCGAGAAAAACAATAAAAAACAACTTAAGCCTAGTTTATACTCGCACGCGCGCGGAGTTAACGGAGGTGACGTGACGTCACTTGGCGCAACGCGTTGGTCACCAGCAAGGCCCATCGAAAATTTTCTAACTACGTAAGGGTCGCCGTAAGGAGCACCGCTGATTTCTATTTATATTGGTGGAACTCATTTGTATGGGTGTGTTTGTGGGGTGGTTTGTGTTGGGGTTGTTTTTTTGGTTTTTTTGTTTTTGGAGTTTTTTGGTGTGGTTATGTGTGGGTGTGTTTTTTGATTATATGGGGGGGTGTATAGATGAGGGGGGGTGGGGGGGGGGGGGGGGGGGGGGGGGGGGGGGGGGGTTGGGTGGGGGTGTGGGGGAGGGGGGGGGGGGGGGGGGGGTGGGGGGGGGGGGGGGTGTTTGTTCAGAGCACTTTGGAAACGTTTTTGTGTTGTTTAAATTGTGCTATAAAATACAAAGTGGATTGGATTGGATTGGATTGATTGGTCCGTGTTGTGTATTGAAGGAACAGGAGCGGCGCAGCAGGGACTACTACAGAACTCTGGCCGAGGACCCCGCCCCATCCTTCGAGCGACGCGTCCGTGAACATCTCCACGTGAGACACGGCGCCGGCCAGAGTCACTCCGTCCCGTAGAAGACCCGGAGTGAGCCAGAACCTGATGTTCGATGCTGCCACTTGGGGAACCCAGATCAGCCTCCCCCCGTCCCGGGAGGGTGTTGAAGCCTGAGGCGTGAGAACCACCTCTGAAAATTCCTCATGTGGAGAAGGCCTAGCCGCACCACAGCATGAGCTGCCGCCATCATTCCCAGCAGGGACCTGAGGCGCCGAGCGGGGACTCTGGGGCCCGCCAGAACCTCCCCGGGTAGACGGGTAGTGTTCATCCGTCTGTCCACGGACCATGCAGCACGGAATGTCACAGAGTCTAGCTGCAGACCGAGATAGATCATGCGCTGAGCCGGTTGCAGCCTGCTTCTACGTCATGGTGCTACGTCCCCTAGCGGACTTCGCTAGTGGGATATCACGTGCACCTATTCGTAGAACTTAAGTTACAAAGGTAACTGTTAATTTTCTCCCTGTTAACCACAAAGCCCAGGTGCTGTATGTGGGACAGGACCCAGTGCGTATGACTCACGGCCACTTCCCTGGATGAGGCCAGAATTAACCCGACGTCTATGTAGATTAATTCTTACCCCTGCGCCACGGCGCGAGTGCGTAGCCCAAGGGGAAAACGACAGTACTCGTAATTCCTCTCTCCCCTGCCACCTCCTGTGCTGCGTACTCGACGTGGAAGTACGCATCTGTCAGCAGAGAGGAGACCTGACACACCGCTTGTAGCATGAAACTGTCTCTGTCGATCCCCGTATTTCTTTGGCACTGAGAGCGTACTGCCCGTACGCCTCTTGTAGTGGAATGGTGAGAGGTGGCTTTCGGAAAAATTGCAGCGCGTAACCTCTGCGCAGAGTTTTCTCCAGCCAAATATCTGTCAGTAGGCCCTGCTCCCTCCAGATGTTGTATAAATCTGTGAGGGGCGGAACGGGAGATGGAACACCGAGACGTCACGGCCCCGCCCTCTCCTGGTGTTCCTAGCAGGGAGGGGGGGTGGACGAAAGGACCGGGGGGCCCCCTGCGTCACACCGTGAGCGCCGGGGGCGGTCACGTGTCCTGCAGGCCCGACGTCATAAGTACGGGACTGCTCACCACACGTGACTCGGCTGCTGTGCCCCCCCCTGGCTCTTGCCTCATGGAGGGGGGGGGGCGAGCCCCTGGAGTGGGAAACCCCGTGTCAGCCTTGTAGCTCTGCTCACCACACGTGACTCGGCTGCTGTGCCCCCCCTGGCTCTTGCCTCATGGAGGGGGGGGGCGAGCCCTGGAGTGGGAAACCCCGTGTTAGCCCTGTAGCTCAGAAATGCTAACACGCGTTCGGCCGAAGCACACACATATCACTCACCAGATCCCTCCGCCTGACCTCTCTCTGGGAGGGCATAGTATGGATCAGAGAAACCGGAGCTCGTAGTGCACTGCACGCCCCTCTCTGGGGCTGCAGGCCTAGCGAAGCAACGTTATGTGCCCGGGAAGTAACACAATCAGAATTCACAATATTTGACATGTTACATACCCCCAAATCAGACTCAGAAAAGTAATGGAAATGCCGGTCGGCCTTTATTGAAGGAAAAATTTTTCCACCCCGGCCTCCTCTACCATAGGGAGGTCGGTGGTGGGTGCGTTGCTCCCCGCGAGCCACCCATGGGTCTGTCTGGACCCGGGGGCCTCGTCAAGGGGGGACGATGGATAACAGAGCGCGGATACGGGTCAGGATGCCACCCGGGCCAACGCTCTCTGCCTCTGTCCCGGCTCCGTAATGGCTGGTGGGCCTCGCGCCTCGGTGCTAGGTGCGGGGCTAGCCTAGCCGAGTCTTTAGCTGCAGACTCCAGTCTCGCCACCCAGGCCTGCATGTCCGGGCCGAAGAGGGACATCTGAGAGGTGGGCAGGTCCAGCAGCTGCCTCCTCTCCGCCTCCCTGATATTAGCCAGCCCAAGCCAAAGGTGCCTGGCCCGACTTGGGCTGCTGCCATGGAGCGGCCACCATCCACAGCTAGCGTCTGGCACATGCGCAGAGACGCCGCCAAGGTGGTCCTCGCCTGTGACAGGAGGTCTCCACTGAGCGCCTGGTCAGAAGAGAGCAACATATCCAGGGCCCCCGTGATGAATGCCATGTAGTTAGTCAATGCGAGGGCCTGTGCTGCAATGGCATAACATCTATCCGGCATCGCCAAGACATCCTGTCTCGCTCGGAGGGAAGGAGAGGTCTGGTGTCGGGCCACACGAATGCGGAGGGCTGCAGGGCCATGCGGACTGAATCCTCGGTGTCCTGGCCACCATCCACGGCTAGCGTCTGGCACATGCGCAGGAACGCCGCCGAGGTGGTCCTCGCCTGTGACGGGAGGTCTCCACTGAGCGCCTGGCCAGAGGAGAGCGCCCTATCCAGGGCCCCCGTGATGAAAGTCATGTTGATAGCCAATGTGACGACCTGTGCCGCATTGGCATAATATCTATCCAGCCTCGGCAAGACATCCTGTCCCGCTCGGAGAGAAGGAGAGGTCTGGTGCCGGGCCCCACGGATGCGGAGGGCTGCAGGGCCATGCGGACTGAATCCTCGATAACCGGTCCAGGACCAGTCCTGCCCGCTGCAGTATATGTCGTGCCCCAGAGCAGGTCTCTTGGCTGCTAGGGGCAGCTCACGTGTCGCGTAATGGACGAACGGGTCCATCCGCGGGCACAACGTGGGTTTTATCCTCCTCCTCCCTCGAGTGGTGGCGCCCACAGAGGTGAAGTCCTCCACCGTCTGGATCCAGTGACGACGTCCGACGCCGGAGGGCGAAGGGAACTCGGACGAACAAGGAAGACATCTCAGAATGAAGTAGTACTGTGGTAGATCTCAAACTGCGCCAGAGTGAAAGAGGGGGGTGCGGCCTTGTGCAGGGGCATTTATAGAGGATCAATATTGATCTCTCTGGCGTGTGACCTGGGGGTCACGAGTGATATCCCACTAGCGAAGTCCTAAGGGACGTAGCACCATGACGTAGAACTGGCAGGTGTTAATCTATAAGCTCTGACACTCTTTTTGATCCCGTACAAATGTCGTCCCTTAACATCATGGTCCCATATCTCCTGCCACACTGCAACAATGCTCTGATTTATTACACTTTTTATCTCTGATCCTCCAAATGGAATTTCAATAATATTCTCTTCTCGAAGTGCTCTTTTTGCCAGTTTATCTGCCACATCATTCCCAAAAATATCAACATGGGCAGGGATCCAACAAAACTGCACTTGGATACCCATCTGTTGTAGATTCAATAGTATCACATTTACTTCAATAATCAAATCATTTCGACAAGTCACTCCTGAAGTCAGACTTTGCAGCACTGCTGCAGAGTCTGAACAGATAACCACCCAAAGCGGCTTCACTTCCTCAACCCATTGCAGGCCAAGTTTATGGCAAACAGTTCTGCAGTGTAGACTGAAAGATTGTCCGTGAGTCTCTTTGAGAAGCATTTTTCAAACTTTGGAATGTCCACACCCACTCCAACACGACCATTGCTACATTCCTTAGATCCATCAGTAAAAATAGGCAAACAATACGAGTACCTTGTATCCAAGTACTTTTGTGACATATATCCCAAGTCACAATTCTTACCCTTCCATTCTTTCTTTTTATTCAGCAGACTCAAATCTACTTGAGGCTGTGGAAGCATCCATGGAGCAATGTTACAATACACTGTAGCAGGAGACAAGGGAACATTGCCAACATTATGAGCTTTCACCAGCTCTTTAATTCTCCATCCAAATCCCCCATTAGGATATTTTTCATACTCCCAGCAATTCTGTAACACAGTATATGCAATATTACATTCCTTTTGTCCTTGAAGTCTGATCCAGTATGAGAGAGCAACCTTCGATCTTCTCAATGTTAATGGGAGTTCCCCTGATTCTACAAGTAGCGCATTGATTGGGGTAGATTTCATAGCACCAATACACACTCTCAATGCCCTAAACTGTACTCGATCTAGCTTCTCAAGATGGGATTTAGCTGCAGAATCATAAACCATGCAACCGTAGTCCAAGGTAGACCTCATGATAGCTCTGTACATCTTTAATAAAAGAATTCTATCCGCACCCCATTGAGAGCCTGATATACATTTTAATAAATTCACAATCTTCTTACATTTTGTCTCTGTGTTCTCTACATGTTTACCCCAGCTGAGCTTCTCATCAAACCACATCCCCAGATATTTGAAATGAGTTACTTTTTCCATCTGACAATTGTACAGATGAAGAGCTGGAAAGCATGCAATCTTTTTCCTACTGATTACCATGTAACATGATTTCTCAATTGAAATCTTAAACCCCCACTCATACGACCATTTTTCCACTGCACAAATAGCTTTTTGCATACATTTAAATACGTGTTTAATATTCTTACCCCTTTTCCACACTGCTCCATCATCTGCATATAGTGAAGACTGAATGCCATCTCCAATCGAATCAAAGATATCATTAATCATCAAGTTGAACACTACCTTGTGGAATTCCATTAACAATGTCAAAATTCTCAGATATAGCACTGCCCACTTTGACTTGGAATTTTCGTTCAGATAAAAAACTTTTCATCCAATTAAACATTTTCCCTCCAAGACCCATTCTACTCATTTTAATGAGGAGACCCTCTCTCCACATTGAATCATAAGCCTTCTCAATATCAAAGAAGATAATGACAAATACCTCTTTCATTTTCAGAACCTTTTCTATTTCATTGCTGACTTTAATCAAAGCATCTGCTGTTGATCTACCCTTTCTGAAACCATGTTGATATTTACTGAACAGACTATTCTTCTCTAGATAATACGCCATTCTTGCAACAATCATTTTTTCCATTGGTCTATAATTTTTGGCACTATTTTCATCTTTCCCAGGTTTAGCAAAGGGTAAGATAACTGCAGTTTTCCAGCTTTCTGGTAATCTACCCTTGTCCCAGATTTTATTAAACCATTCCAGCACAATTTTTAAGGCTTCATTGGGAAGGTTTCTGAACATAACATAACTAAGCTGGTCACCCCCTGGAGCTGAATTCTTACTACCTTGCAGCGCACCTTTAAGTTCTGCCATAGTAAAATCTACATTCATAACAGAGTTACTCTCACACTTCCTCCTTACTTCATTTTCAAATTCAGTGATCATCTCACATTTCCTCTGTCTATGCATATCTGTCAAGTGATTTCCACTATGCACACCAGCAAACTCTTTCCCTAACAGACTATCCTTATCTGAATCTATTACAGCTACATCCTATTAGCAACTCTTTTCCCACTCATTTTCTTCATCATACTCCAGACCATCCTGCTGCTTGTCCTTCCAAGGTTAGCACAAAACTCCCTCCATGTATTCTTCTTTGTCGTTTTAATGATTTTACGTGCCTTAGTTCTTTTCTTCTTGTACTCAATTACATTTTCAATACACACATTCTCCTTTAGAGTCCTCAATGCTTTATTACGATCCTTAACAGCTAAGCTGCACCCCTCATTCCACCAAGGAACAATTTTTTTATTACCTTTAATGGTATTTTTCGGAATATACTCCAAAGCAGCAGTACTTAGCATAGTTGATACTTCTCGCACACACTCATCAATATCTAAGCTCAGATTAATATCCAAGGCTAATTGTCTACACTTTTATTTAAATGCCTCCCAATTTGCCTTTTTAAAGCACAACCTGGAAAGAATAGGGCCGTTTTGCAGGTGTTTACCAATATTGATTGTACAATAAATTGGGAAATGGTCACTGCCAAGACTGTCACTTCCTACATTCCACACACATGAATTGGCCATACCAGCAGACACTAATGTAACATCAATACATGACATTTTATTTCTATATATATCCATTCTTGTTCCATCCCAATTGTTAACACATACAAGATTTCTCACATCCATAAATTCCTCAACCGCAGAGCCATTTCCATCAGTGTGATCACTTCCCCAGAGACTGCTGTGAGCATTGAAATCACCACACCATATTTCTTTAAATTGCCCTGGCCCACTTATCTCATCAAACATCTCCGGCCCTAATCTTTTACATGGGTTATAAAAGTTTATCACTCTCAATGGATGCTGCATGTCAAACAATTCCACAATAACACATTCATGATTTTCCCCAGGGAGGACCCTTTAAACGCTATGCCATCCTTAACAAACGTGACGCACCCTCCTCCAAGGCTCTCTGCCCTATCAAATCTAACTGAATGATATCCTGGGATAACAAAATCAAGGTGAGGCCGTAGCCACGTTTCTTGAATGCATACCAATTCAGGATTAACCTCTAGATCACTAATAACTTTTTTTAGTTCCTGTCCATTCGCAATCAAACTCCTAGCATTCCATTGTAATACGGACAGAACCATAATTAGTTTAATCAGACAAGTCATATTGAAATGGATGGATCATTTCTTGAATGGTACAACACTCCACGCTCGAAATTCCCAAAAACTGCTTTGCAGCTTCCATTATAGTATCTGCTTTGTCATCCTTGTCAGACTGTTCCATTGCAATAAACACGATTTTGCAAATAAATGCAACAAAGTTGACTCTGTCCACTATCATTGTTCCTTCTTTTACTTTACACTTGTGCACATCTCTAGGTTCTCGTGCCACCTGAGCTCGAGGAGCCTTGCTTGTTGAAATCATATCATTATCCACTCCATCTACTGACTTTTCTTTAGTTTGTATCTGCACTTTTTTCAGGGCTTCAGCATAGGACACTTTATTAACCACCTTCACTTTTTGAACTTCTCTAGCTTGCTTTTGCACTTTACACCCAGCAAACGCAGCACTATGATTCCCTCCACAGTTGCAGCATTTCACTGGGGCATCTTTCTCACATTTGCCATAGCTGTGGTTTCCACCACACCGTGCGCACCTTTCTTTCCCTTTGCATTGACTGACAGTATGGCCCATTCTCTGGCACTTGAAACACCTCAGTGCAGGAGGGATGTATTCCCTAACCGGGTAACAAAAGAATCCAAGCATTACCTTATCCGGGAGGCATTCTTCAAAATCTATCACAATAGACAAGGTTTCAACCGTTGCGCCGTCCACTTTGCGTGTAATACGCTTTGCGCCCTTAATCTTTCCTCCAGTCATTTCCTTCTTGATTTCATCCAGTGATACTGACAGGGGAACACCCGAAATCACACCTCTACTGCCAGCATTCATGCCTGGAATGTGAGTCTTCACATTTTTTCCATCAATGGTCTTAACTCGAATCAATTTACCTTGTTGTTCTCGACTAGACATACAAACCAAAATGCGTTTATTGTTCAAGTATTTTGCAAACTTTACTTTACCAATTACAGCTTCTAGAGCTTTTGCAATTTTCAGCAAATGGAAGGACTCACTGAACTCTACAATCACTTTCCATTCATGATTATCCCTATCATTAACGGTGATGGGGCGAGCTCTCTTCACCGTGTCATCCGATTCCGCACTAGAACTAGATCCATCATTTATATTTTTCTTTTTCTTTTTCCTTTTAAACCCTGGGCTCTCCCATTTCATTCCCCCTGAATAAGCCCAATCATCATCCTCATTGTCCAAAGGCATGATATTCACTCAGAAATCAGTATCTGTCAGAATCAAAAAAGCCCATGCCGCCAACTCAGCCTCTCGCCAACGTGGAACCGTCTCGCGAGATCCCCGGTCTTCCTCCCACATC